CGCTGACCGCCGTCATCTACCTCCTGAAAACTAGAGAGCACAAATATGTCATATGAAATTGGTACATGTGGGATTCTGTGGTGGCGTCAGCAGCGCACTAGCGGATGTCACCGAAGTCCAAGAACACCAACGCTTGGGACTCCTAGCCAAGCTGAGTGGTTGGGCCTGGAAACCTCCCTGCTCCCCTCTAGAGCACAAACCTAAGAGCTGCTCAGGAGAGTCGGTATATAGTGACTACCTTGTGCCCCACTCAGCGCTCGTCTTTCCATCTACCTCAGACTTTCTCCTTTCTCTGGACGCGCCAGAACCAGTTTTCTAGCTTTTTTTCACACTTCAGAAACACAAAAATTGTCAAAGACATGGTATCGAAAGTAACACGAAGAATGAAGTACATACAACAGAACGAACAACCTAACAAGAGTAACACAAGCCAGGTGGGTTCAGTCGGGGAAGGTGAAAACACAATTGGTACGAGCAGTCAACAACCAACTGACGGAGTCGGAGCAAAGCACTTAAGTTGTTAGTGTTTTGATTATTGAAATATCCCTGGCAACAAAGTGGCTGTTAGCTGAGCAGGATGTAATGACAAATCCTAGTTGCAAATTCTTTGACAAATAAAGATCCTATATCAACTGGCAGCAGCACAGAAGACACGGCTAACGACACAGCATCCAAGGACAACAAGGTGATTGAAGTCCAATTAACAAAAGGTAAGCAGCTTCAACATATCACCTCGGCAGACTAGTTGCCTAGAAGGGAAAACCTGAATAACATATTCTCAACATCATGTTGGATTAGGCAAACAGCCGGATGTCATATCTACGTACCGTGAATTACTATTGGGGCAAGACCCAGAGGGCCCTTTACTTGCTTTAGAAACAAGGGGACCAAGGAGGGCTACAGGTTTCAAGCTGGGAACCCCCACTGACACCTGGAAACCGTGCAGAGATGAAAGAAGAGTAGATGGATTGGATGTCAGTCTCCCGAGGTATCTATTTGATGGCAAAAACTTGAAACAAAGTCCTATCTTGATAATTTAGGGGTGACAAAAATTTCAAAACAGGATCAGATCCAAGCTTTCTTGGAAACACAATATGTAGTTCAGGAAACCGCCCGCCATAGCCTCAATGTCACAGAGATTGATGTGACATGTCCCTAAAAACACAGCAACCCACCAAGTCAATAATCAATCACACAAAAAACACCATCAAATGTAATATTACCAAATCCTGCTTCTGCCTCAGTAGGAATGAACTGGATTGTAGGTATTCCGGGGGGAGCAATGTGAGACTGCTTACTGGGACGTTCAAGACTCCAACCGGGCCCAACTGCCAAGAATTTCAATATAAATTACCACCTCCGCACTTGTTTAAAGTCGATAGCAACCAGCCAAAACAGAAGTTATCACTTGCAGGGTTTTTGAAGCGTTGATTGAGCTGCTAAGCAAGGCCATTTGGATCTGTAAGTCAATTGATTGCAATGTCTGTGTAGAGACGGGAGTCCACCCGGACCCAGTATTGATGGTTTCAACTCCTTGATCATGGTAGCTGAAGGCTCACTTTATGTTGAATTGCCCATCCCCTTGTGAATCTGCCTTGATCACAGACATTGGTTTTGTAGATGCAGCTTTGGGGTTTTAATCAGCACTAATATTTTTTATCACAGCCCCTATGAACCACATGGTGTAAGATGTGTGGTCATTGATCACATTCACAGTGGTAACTGGTAATGGTAATTCATCTTTCTTCCGCATACATTGACCACTCCCTTTGATATTTTAGAGTTGTTTTAGATTAATAAAGAATATCATTCAAGAAATGATACTAGTGATTTGTGTGCAGTTTTTTGTTGCGCTCAGAAATTGTGACCATGACTATGAGACCTTTGCAAAGGTTTTTATTTTTTTTCTTCTTTTTTTACTAAACAATGACATGTTCTCCTGTCAGACACTGAGGCCATAGCCCATGTGTCTACAATGTGAACATATAAGTACAAACAGGCTAGTGTAGTGGTTAAGAACTGTCTTAAGACAATTCTTACCAACACCCTGTGTTCAATCCCCCTCAACACTCTATTGTATTTTTATTCATTCCTTTTTTATATTTTTTTCTCCTAAGTAATTCCGTGGAATAACTTAGTATTTTCCTCTGTATTAATATTCCTTTATTACAGAGATGCTAACTTATGTACATAAAGTTTATTCTTCTTTCTCTCTAAGTATATTCTGTAATTAGAGAGATTACTACACTTTGGGAATTGATTAATTTATTCCTCTCTGTATGGATTTCCCATAGAGAGAAATGATGTCATTCCCTCCACTTTTGATGTAATCTTAATTTAAATACATGTTCTGATCATTTGTGATTTAAATACATAAAATGATCATCTGTGGACCTGTCCGGTCCAACAGGCAGTTTGAGCCCTGCCTTGCAATACTTAAGGGGGAGGACTTTCCCTCTAGGATTCTTCCCCCCAGAGATTATTTGCCATACAAACCCGTTGTCCTTACTTAAATTAAGTGAGTGGGGTTTTTTATAATCTATTACAATTTATTACATCCTTCCATCCTACTCTTATCATCTTCCTCCATCCCTAGACTACAGTAAAGTCACTACTGTAGCCTAGAAGAGAGTTATACGTACTCTAAGCTCGGCACCACGAAGCTCATTCCGCGTGTGTCCCCTCTAACCCAGGGAGCTAACCCCTCCGCTTCCTAGCATCGAGGTGAGGTTCTCTTCCATTGGCTGCCCTTGCAGTTATAGTGTGACCCCATAAACCCCATCAATGCCAGGTCACATAAGAGACCGGCGCTGACATCTCCCATATTTTTCTCCAGTATTAATATGCTGTATATTTCTTCACCACTGGCTCAGTTTGTGTATCTGTAAATGTTGATTACCAGTCAGCACAAAATCATTCCAAGAAATATATGGCATTTTATCTGACCTACAAACCAAATGAAGCTCATACAAAGCCACTCATCTCACCAAAAAGCCTGCAAAGAGTGATAAAAGCCAGGAAAGTAGACTTGAATTGGGCTAAGCGGTTTCCATTTGAATCACATGGAATGGACATTGAAATTTGTTGTCCATTGCTATTCAACTATTTGAGCAAGCTGTGGGGTATACAACAAGAAGAACTGATATGAGATTTTTGAAATCTATTCTTGGAAAGATGGAACCCATGGCAGTTGAAGAAGGAATACCAACTGGTCTGGTCCAAATCTTGAAGACACTACCCAATAACCTTAACAACTTGTTTGACTTCATTGGGTCCAATTTTCAAACGGCGAGTCAACCGGATGATATTTGAATTGGTTGGCTTGGCCAGAAAACCTCGTGATTTCATCAACAGAAAAAGCTCCCAAGCCCCCCTTTTATTAGGAGATATGTTTGGATCAATCACAAGTGCATTCAACAAAACTTTGCCTCTGACAGTTTGTATCAACGTTGTAACCGCTCCGCTGCAGATAGCGCAGTGCAGCGGTGAGCGCAGCGGTTTTTGTGGCCACTGCGCTGCAATGCAGTGTAGCGGTCAGGCCAATGCCGCTTCCGCTATTCCAAATCTCTGAGAAAAAAATTGTATTGTAGCGCGCTAAAAGAAGTGGCCATGTAGCGGCCAACCTCTACAATCAGCGGTAGCGCAGCGTGAAACCGCTGATTTCAGCGGTAGCGCAGCGGCAAAAAACCGCTTACAGTCAAACCTGTCTAAGGGCATACCTTCCTGTGTGCATAACCTGTATAAGGGAATAGTGAAGGGCTTCTCCCAAAACTTGATTTTGCTGCAAATTCCCTCTCTCTAAGGGCATAACCTGTTTACAGGCATACATAAATCCTTCTCCCAAGGGGTATGCCCTTAGACAGGTTTGACTGTATCTACATACATACATGGGGCAAAAAAAACTCAGAGAAAAACCACTTTTAAACTAGCAGTAATTATCAATAATCAATATTTTTTTGGTTTTATAGGTTAGAACTTAGTAATAGAGGGGAATGCGCTCAAGAAAAGAGAAGAAAAAATATAACTAGCATTTTTTTTTTGATTGGTTGTTTAGAGACCTTAGTAATTGAGGTGACAGAGCTCAAGAAAAGGAGATCGGACCATGATGTTGGCAAGGATGGTGGTGGAGATGTTGACAAGGACGGCAAAGATTATGACAAATATCTATCCCCCCATTGAGTGGACCAACCCGGGTGCTGTGCTGATTGCAATCTGCACAGCTTCGGGCAGCCAGCGCAGCATGTAGCGGTGGGCGCCCCATTTAGCGGTCAGAAGCGCCCATGTGAGGGTTGTGCGCTGCACTGCGCTATTTTGCAGCTTTAGCGCCATTTTTTCTGCTGCGCTAACACTGACCTCTCTCCAGATGAAGCGGTACACCTCTAAATCTAGCGCTAGCGGAAGCGGTTTTTCAACAGCTTCCGCTGAATGCCTCTGGGACGTAGCGGCTTGACTGCTGCGCTGCGCTAAAGGGCCGCTTTTTTTAGCGCAGCGCAGCGGTTACAACGTTGTTTTTATATACCTGATGAAATTAAAGGACGAGGCAGAGTGAACTGGGGACAAAGGACCGGTGAACAAATCTTGAGGCTAAAGACTCAAGAGAAAAAACTGGTGGTCGAAGAGCCCAAAAAAAGGGGCTATGAGCTGCTAGTGTGCGTGGCGGAAACGCACTCACGCTACAAGTGGTTGTATCTTTTAGATACCACAGGGAAAAGTTTCGCAGAAGACTGATAATCTCATTTTCTAACTCAGAAAGCATGGTTATTTATCTACATACAAATTATGGCTGAGTTGTGGGACAGAAGGTGAAGAAGCATATTCATCTGGAAATGAGAGAGAAAAGAATGACAGATGAGGAAGGAGAGACATCTGTGTGACAGAGAAGAAAAGAGGAAAGGAACGATGACAGCTAAATTCCAACAATACCCCATTGGGCTGGCTGCTGATGGTTGGATGGATTTCAATTCCTGCTTTGCCAATGTGAGCAGAAAGCTTTCTTTTTTTCAGCCGAACAGAAACTCAACAGATTGAAATAAAACTGAAGATAACTGACTAATAAACCACTTCTCATCAGTTTCCCCATTTCCTCGGCCCTCTCGCACAAGTTTTCTTCAATCAATACATCCAATGCAGCAATTGCCACAGCACAACCTAACGGGTTCCCGCCAAATGTAGAGCTGTGTTCTCCAGGTTTGATGACTCCCAGAATATGATCATCTGCCAAAACCGCAGAGACTGGATAAAATCTACCAGAAAAAGATTTGCCTAAAGTCACAATGTCTGCTCAGACATTTGAATGCTCTTGAAAAAGACTGGAAGTAAACCCGTGTTGATTGGATTAGTTTCAATTGCCCCACATTATTTATGTGCTTGCTTCTTTCATCATTGGACGCTTATCAAAAGTCAAAAATAGGATGCTTACAGTTTCCCTGTTTGACCAAGACCAGTCTGCACCTCATGCATTATCAATAACACGTTGTGTGATTCACATAAAGCCTTTACTTTCGGAATGTAGTCGTCGTACGGAACAATAATCCTAGTGTCAAAATGGGTAGAGTATCAATAAAGTACTTCTAATAGGATTTTTTGATTGTTGCCTATGATCACTGCTTACTCAGATTTGCCTTGAATAGGCTCAAGTAAAAGTGCGGCTGTATTTTTTCCGTGGGCATTTAGTGCTCACTTGATATCATGGAAGTCACTGTTCAATTGAATGCGCACAGATCAGCAATCAATCAAGATATCCTAGAGATGGCTATGTGAGTTCTCAGACTTGTATTTTAATGACCTTTGACCGGAGTTTGCTGGCTCATTGATTGGACAACTCGAGCCAATGCTTGTCAGAAATGGCCCGAATGAATTTTGGCAATCCGGATCAGTACTATGTGGAACGGTCAAGGGTGGAGCAATTTTGCGTAAGCTTTGGAAATTGCTTGTTCTTCTTTTTCTGAGTGAGTAGCAACCTTGGACCTCATGAACACTGTCCACCATCATGCACCATGTATAAATCATAACTGACCTCATACCCATGACACCCAAAGTTTGACCATGGAAATTTTCGCCAACGCTTAAGATTATGGCTTTGCCGTCCAGTACCCCCTCTGTGGAAATGAAAATAGCCGTGACAAAAGAAAAATTTTAGTTTTTGAGACCGTCTTTACCAATTTATCAATTGAGAAAAGAATAATATTCACTTTCGACGTAAGCCCATTTTTGAGCCAACTTCAATGCAGTCTCAACCGCTTTGACCCCAGCATTCATTGGTAACACTCTTTGATACCCAAAAGTCGCGCAAAGTTTCTCGAGAAATAGTCCTAACAATTAATTGTGGAAGGCTCTTGAGGAAAGTGTCAGACAACTCGATTGATCTACCAATGCTTTCAAGATCTTTGGATGGCAGTGGCCTTGATTAACGGCTGAGTGCGCAGAATGACAGTCAATGTATTCATTCCCTTCTGGATCCCATACTCTACATCCTTCTGCTTGATCAAAAACTACCGGGAGGGGATGATAGCTGTTGAGTATTTCAAAAGTGTTGCAAGACAAGCATGAGCTCAGATTAGCTTAAGCCATATAAAATCAAGCATGGAAAAAGGAGGTACTAAGCTTAGCACTTAACTTATGAGAACCATACTGATGCTCCAAGTTGATTAGAGCTTGGCTGGTGTCAGCTTGCTACTATGGCAGAGACAACCTGTCACAGCAAATAAATAATAAATTGCATAAAAAATCTAAGTATAAACTAAAAATATTACATAAGTAAAAGAAACAATATTACTTATGTAAATAAGATAAAAAATACATAAAAATAAATGAATAACTTAAAAAGTATAAACAAAACCTTGAATATTATTGCAGATTCTGAATCAGCATGCAATTTAACCTAGGGTACCTCAGCCAAAGGTACCCCAAATTCTAACTCCTTCATCCTGTAATACAAGCATGAATAATTAACAGGTACCCCCAGATCACGGGTACTGTGACATTTCTGCATAATGCATAATGCATATACTCCAAATCCAGTCTCAGAATTGGAGTATTATACACGGTTTAGAAGATAGAGCAGTGTGGAGTCCTGTCTCCAAGCCCATGTGCCACGTAGTCATGCTGCGCACCAGTATCCAAGGATTGGGCCACAAAAGCCCCAGAATCCCCATTGCACGTGGCAACAAAGCCCCCACACGTGTAATAAGAATGTGAACAAGCTAGAATATCCATGAAAATACTACAGTAACCATATTCCAGTGGGTAACACGTGTAGCAAGCCTCAGAAGACACCTCTGGAATATTCTGTGGCCCATTTCCAAGGAACCTGCTCCACGTAACAGAGTAGCCCCTATCCACAGGTTCCCATGGGACATTCTTGGCTGTAATAATTTCGTGCATGACCCCTTGGAGCTTATGGAATATTATCCCCAAGGTTCCAGCCCTGGTTACATCACCATGTGGGCCAAAATGGGCCCAAAAGCGCCCCCAAGTCCTACTAAGCTCCCCTGAGCAACCCCTGAGGCCTTCCACAGGTATTTAAAGGGCCTTCTGACCGCCCAAATAATGATCCCCCAGCTTTACAATACCTTATAGAAATTTACTTACCATTTACAAGTCCCCTACACTTGTAATTAGCCTAGTTACTACTATAATTGCTGTTATTAAAGCCTCAAGAACCCTCAAGAAACTCCCCAGTGATCATCCAGCACCCAAAATCAACCTTTCTGAGCGCTCCCAACTGTCCAGTTTCTACTAAGAAGATCCTCAAGACCCCTTAGGATTATTACTAGTAAGTAATAACCCTTTCTTGAAGATTTTCCCCTTAAAATTATCTCCTGGGATTTAAACCACACCTGTTACAGGCCCCAGTGTATCAGGTACCTAAATCCTCTGCTTTTTGCACGATACCTTAGAGGGATTAAACCACCCCTGATTTATCAGGCCCCTCTGGTTTTATTTATATTAATTTTATTAATATAAATTGGCCACTTTTTGGATTTAATCCATAAATTCCACGTAATTCTTTTGAATTACTTGTACCAGTTTTATCCCAGAGTTTTTTCCATAAAAACTCTTATATTTTGCACCTTGTGTAGCTAGAGGACACTTGTCTTGGCATCACATAGGCTGACAGCTGGTCACTTGGTTTCCATCTGAGGGCTTGCGGAGATTACTGAGCTCCATCATTCTTGTTTCTTGAAAGAGGTACATATACGACCGGCTTAATCCTTGGATTGAGGTCAAGTTGACTTTTCAGTCCAATCAGTTATGGACTGGTTGAAGATTATAAATAATCAACTGGTTTCCTATCAGAGTACATCATATTATACTTCCAACATATCCCCGACGGAAACTTTGAATCTTGCGTGAGACACTACACAGTGCCCAAGTCCAATCACAGTTGGCCTGCCCAGATGACAAAATCAACATGCACCTCCAAACAAGCTGGCTGGTTCTGAATTTATCCAATCCAGTGGTAGGGAGGACATCCAGGATGGCAGGCTCAAAATTGTGAGAGAACTCAAAAAGAGTCAAAGCTTAGAAAGCCATCCTGAAGAGAAGAAAGCGGATGATAGATCAAATTTTAGTTGTTGTGATGACAAAGAAAAATATGCCAGTCCTGTAAGCTCAATTCATAAATGGTGAACCAGAGCAGGGATTTCAAGTAATCCTTATTCCAAATTTTAGTTATCTTGATCTTTATTTTCTTTCTATCACTCACCGGTAACTTCCAGTGGAAGAATTTGATTCAATTTCAAAAATATATAATGTAGGCAGTGCTTTATTTCTGGGAAGGTTGATTGTGGCTGGAAACAACTATTGGAAAAGAAAAAGAGAAAAAAAACTAGTTGAATCCTGTTTTATTCCCAATTTGAATTAGTGTATCATAGCCATGTTTATTTCCCCCTTGTTGTTCTGCCATCAACTTCTCAAACCAAAAAGCCAGTGATTCCTGCCAAAAATGGTAAATCAGCACACTAACTTTGAATGAACAACCAGGAAAACCTACCTTCAAGATTTCTCAAGAAGAAGATTCTATCATTGATTCAAGAAATCTGATAGCCTTTTCATGATTATCCAGTCTGTATGAAGCATACAATCTCCACATAGATCCTGATTTGAAGTCAAATTCCTCAGGATATTGAAAATATTTGGCAAATTTCCCAAATATTGATTCTTCTTCTTTCACAATAATAGCATGGTGACCAGCTGTTCTGAGTACCTTGTGAATTTTCTCTTCAATATCCATGTTACCCACAGATAATACAAAATCATGTGCTCCTTTTTGGAGAACCATGGCAGGTATCAATCTCATGTTACTGTAAACTTTGTGTTGCAAGTCCAATTCAAACTTGTCTCCATGATCTCTAAATTCTACTTCAAAATCTTCAAGTATTTGATTGTTTTTGATAGCCTCTTGCACTGATTCCCTCATCTCTGTGAATGTTCCAAAACAATCAGTTCCTATTTCAACACATTCCTAAATAATTTCTGGAAGACCTACTGTTCATTTCCATATTTATTTGATACTTATTATCATCTTCATAATCATGTATGTAAGGTAGTCTATAAGGCTCCTCATCATTTATTCTCCCAGCTAAGTTAAGATCTGTGGGTAATAGAAATAAAAATGCTTAATATTACACTTCATATTTTTGTTTGCATTGGTGGCTTACTGGAACTAATTTCCACTTCTTTAGCCTTCAAGTTCAGCAGCTGCTTTGTATTGCTTATATCTGGAAGTTCTAATTTCAAATTGTTGCTTGTACTCAACTCTGCTCCCTTTTTGCCAGCTAGATTTAGCACAGGAATTTTACCATAGGTAGTTTCAAGTTCTGATACTTCCTTTGAGGTTACTAGCCAAACTTGATTATTGAGATTAGCAGCAAGATCTTTCAAAACTTTCATGACCCTCTGCTTGTGTTTAACACTATTATCCCCATAATGTGGCTTGATAGTCCCCTACAAGATTATCCAATTCAATCAGTGAACAGAATTCCTCAAGAAATTTCCAAACAAGAACTTACTCACATCAGCACCAATAAAGAAAAAAATATTTTTCTGCTTGGGTATAATCCTGGAAAATTCTTTCTGCTTCTTTCTTCCCCAGCTTGGGAGCCTTGCTGATTGATTTTGGATTGGTACTGAGCAGCCCCACTTGATATCCAAGGGACTTGGTTGAGTCACCTGTGTGAGTGATATCCTTGCCTTCATTGAAAAACATCGTCTGGCTTGGATTTAGGAATAAAAGAGTGATTCCAATAATTGTATAGAACATTCTTTCTTTTGGATGGTGATGTGTATGTTGATGGGAAACAGAAGAAAATCCAGAGTGATACCTGAGTTGTCATTTACATATCTTGTTCGAAGGCTTGATGCTTTGGAGCAGGAATGTTGTTACCAGTGAGAAGATTTCACATGTGTTGGCAAGTTGCTGCTTTGACTGCATTGCTTCAATGACTCTCTAGGTATCCGTAAGATACCGAACAAGTACAAGAATACACGAGCGGCGCCTGTATCCAGGCGCGGCGAAGATAATTCTGTGCAGTACCGCTCGGCCCCCCTTATACTCCCTTAATCACTAGAAGGCGTATATTGTAGTGGACATGCCCTTCGGGGAGGGCGTGTTAAACGCACGCCCCTCAAAAGAGTGGTGTGGGCAGGCGCGTGCGTCCCCATGAGGGGCGTGCGTTTATCAACCTTTATCAACGCCCAACATACGCAATGTACGACGCCAAAAACAAAAAAACGAACTTCAAAGCGTGGCTCGATGGGCCGTGTCGTCCAGGGGCTACATACCGTGCCACGCGAAGTCAATTTTAGCCTCCACCGGGATTCCAAATCGACTGAAACCTTAGAAGTGAGCCTGCGGTGTAGCCTCTAACGGACTGTTGTGGCAGATCGCCCAGCTGAGTCCTCATAGTCCGCATGGTTTTGTGTGGTCGATAAAAACAAGCCGATGTCTTCTCCACCCCTGAAAATCTCCAGAACCCCCATTAATCCTTGGGGGTTGTAACTCGGGTTTTCTGGGAGGGACCCACCTTTTTACAAAGCTCACAAACCGATACAGGAACGTTAGCACGCGCAAGTGTAGTTACTAGAATCCAAAGAATTGCGATGTAATCGGGCTTGATCCTCAACCAATTAGATGTATAAAAGGGCGCGACTATCCTGAGCGTTATTCTCAAAATCAGCAATCCACGTCGAACGATACTTTGCCTTGAACGTACCTGCACCCTATAGTCCTTTTGAATATCCTCTCCTCTTGAGTTCAACCCCATCATGCACTTTTTCAAATCAAGCGTTGTTATATTGGCTGTCACTTGTAAGCTTGCACTTGCATTTAACTGTCATTCACCATATGGCGCAGGTGGTTGCCTGAACACGGTGGTGGGCTCGGTCGATGTTCGTGAGTCCAGAATCTGAACCAATTTTACTATCTGAACAGAAAAAAGGTTGATCGACTGTAACTTGCGAACTGCAGTTTCACCCGCCCTGCGGCCGAACGGAGCAGGGACTACATATTTTATCTGCGAGAAAGGGCTCGCGGAGTGCTGTTTGGACGCTACATTCAAGGTGAATAGCATCCCATTAATCTTTCCACGCTTCTGCCACGACAGCTACAGTTTGACCTCGATACTCTCCGTCTTTCAGATTCCCCCGGGCCGAGTTGCTGATCCCAACAAATGCCAGCTAGGGTAGGGTTGGTAGCCCCGATGCTCAATTCAGCTGTCTTCAAACCCTTCTTGTTGTGCGTCAAGTTCTCTCCGCTTCAGAATGATTGTGACCTCAATCTAACTCATATGAGTCAGTCCAGCCCTCTCCAGCCATTGTGCTTTTCTCGAAATCTGTCCGATGGCCTCTGCAGGAAGGCGTCCCCCTTCCTGGAACTTCAATCTACCTTGATAAAATAGTTAGATCGTTAGAAAAGATTTTTTTCCATAAGATTTTATGCAAAACTCTGTCAGACATCCGATAGGAAGTCTTGGGCCAACCCACAGATTTAGGGTTGCTGCCAAGAACTGACACAAGTCAGCTCCCCTCAAGGCTGGAGGCAGTCCGCTACTCTGGAGTTCAGCCTGATAGCAATCACTAATTAGTGGTGAGAACGACACTGATATGAAAAAAAACCCTGAAATAAGTTTACTGAAAGAGATGGAAGAAGATACCAAAGATGAATAAGTTAGCTAACAGGGAGTTGATTATTTTGGGGTGATAACATTATGAGACACAGGACATAACAGAGGGCTGTTGCTTGTATTGTGAGAGAAATCAACAAGAGAGATAGAGAGAGAAATAAAGACTGAAAGACTGAAAGAGATTGAGATAGGATATCAAATAATAATAATAATAAATAAATAAAATAAGGAGGGCAGTGCAAGAAAATAAGAGAACTCTTTACAGGATTCATGATAACTATTGACCTTCAAATTTTTTGAACCTTTTCCCATCCAAGGGTCAAACTTCCTTTTGTCTTGGTGGAACCAGTTAATCCAGTTGGTATGGTCAAATAACTTGACAACATAAGCATTGATCCAGTCTTTGAAAGCATGAAATTTGAAGGAGGGGTCAAGGAGCATCCTTCCAAACCGGCTCAAATCCTGGTATCCACCAGAGTAGTATTCACCGCAATTTTGATTGGGAAAGTGTTTCAAATAAGCTCTCATAAATTTGAATTGCTCTACAAAGACATATAGATGCTTTTCCCGCTCTGTCCTCGGTAAATTTGTCTCAGTGTGTTTTACCGTCTTGCTGATGATTTGAGAGTGGTTTTGGTCCATGTAATTCAGCATGTAGTAAACCAGCTGGTACTCAATTGTTCTTTGTTCCAGGTTGGGTTTCTTAAAAAAATCAACCAGTTTTTCTGTGAAAGATGTGATCAGAGATCCTTTCATTACCTCATTGATTGTATCTGGTCCGGCCTGGTCTAATTTTGTAGAAAGACTGTGGGCTTGGCTGAGAAAGTTGGATTGTAATTCTATAAATTCCTGGTGAATTTTGGCAAATTGTTCGCTGAATTGGGATCCTCTCAAGGAGAAGAATTCCCGCGTATGTGATAGTACCTTACCCATGAATATGATGGCGTGTACAACTTTCTCCTGATCTTGAGCAGAGAGGGCTGTAAGGAGGTGTATCAGCATCAGTACATATCAGTGCAAGCAGGATCCAAGACGGAGAAGAGAAAATAACTCACCTTTGATTGTTCTATGAAAGTGCCTGAGATCCCAGCCAGATGTCAGGAAATTGAGATCTGGAACAAAAGACATCCAAGAGTTGAAAAACTTCCTGCCCAACCTTTGGAATACAAGCTCGCTATACATCTTGACCATGCTCATGACAGTCTCTGGCTTGGAGCTGTCAATACTTTTGACCAATTTTAATAGTCTATTTTGAAGAACGTAGTTGGCTCAATGTCAGCTATGTGTATGAAACTTTGGCTTAATAATATAAAAGCCAAGTACTATCACTGTGCTGAAGGACTCAGGTTAAAGACCAAGATTACTCCTAGTCACCCTCAAAGTATTAGTGGTCCAAACTTCCCACTTAAGAGGTTAAAAAGTCCACACTCCTCAGTTAATGACACTTGAATAATCAAGAGAGCACTGTAGGAGACAATAACAGAATATGTTATTGTAGAGTGTTTGGAAGCAATAATTAATATTGCAAGAAGTAGTCGGCAAGCACCTGAGCTGAAAGGCTACAGTCAGAGGTGGTGGTCTTGCAGCAACTACTTTTTAAGGTATTAGTTAAGTTTTGAGCCTGGGATAACTCTCAGCTTAATAATAATTCCAGTAAGAAGGTAAGGTTGGATTGGATAAAAAAGACTACTCTAAAAGTAGGTGGAGAATATTCACTGTACTCACTAAGTGTACTGGGGGTGAATATGCTGAGGAACCAATCCTAGGCAGGAGAAGGCCTCCTTAAATATTCTAGAGGTCCCCTTGAGTCCCTCCTTAGAATATTCTAGAATCTCTCTTTTAGTGTACCACGGTAGAATTATTCCCCTGATGTAATGGGAATAATTCAAGGTATTTCAAATAATGTATATTCTATGTCCCATGACATCATGATGCATGTTTATAGCCAATTACATCATGTGTCTCCTTAAATAGAATATTACTAGTAGAAAGTGCCACACTCTTGACATAGTGTGGTAATTTCTTTTCTACAAGTTTTAATAAATTGATTATGCTTGTAGAATAAAATTTCTAAGGTTACCCTGAATGTATATTTGACCCTAATTTAATATACATTAATTTTATTCTATAAATTTATATATTTTATTCCTTTTATCCTTCAAGAGTTTGAATATATACAAAGTCCTTGAAGGAGTGGGAATTTGGGGATACTTCCAGTGGACAACCCCCTTTATAATCTTATGAAATATTGTTTTATTAAATAATATTACTACATATTATATTACATGTGGAGTATTTTAATACTTAATATTCATTTAGCAGTCTTTTGGATACTATGGAGTATCTCTAAGGCTGACACTTAACAATTGAAAGCTTTTATAAAATCAACCTGGAATTGTACTTCTTGCTGACTCAGAACTTGACCTGAAGATTTGAATTCCTTGAGTTTCTTCTGTATCAAGTTCCAAGTTTCAATCTTTTCAGGCTCTGTGCGACCTTTCCCAATTTCATATTCATCACCATCCAATAATTATAGACCCAGCAAAGAATTTAATGGGCGCTCTAAGTTTTCAATGGGAATTCCCTTTTCTGCAAGACGAGCTTCAAGTACGGTCTTGTGTTTCTTGATTTCATCAGCTGGAAAGCTGGCTTCAAAAGTGAGAGGATGGTGTTGTTAGTCGTTCGAGATCAGCGTTTGAGACTCAAGCAAATAACTGTGTTCAAGGAGTGTCCGGGATAGGGCAGAATAGTCTCTGGCCCCGGTGTAAGACTCAAAAGTGGTTGTGAAACCCTTTTGCTGAATGGAGAAGGGGATGATGGAGTTGCAAGCTCTGCCCTTCTATGCTATCAGAACAACAAGACCACCAAGCTCAGCTTGGCAGTTTATATATCGTGATAGAGGATAGTTCGAGATGAAGCTGTCGAATGATACGTATAACGGTTGAAGGTGTTGATGATTGTTGTTGATGAAGTCGTTGATAGAGGTGTCAATGATAAGTGTTGAGAGTGAGGCTTGAACGCGCAACCTCGAGGTTGATGGTATATAAATTTTATGCTTTGACCAGGAATTGAACGGAGGACCAGGCACAGGTGGAGGTAAGTTGGAGTTAAGGTGGAGTTAAGATGGAGTTGAAGTGGAGTTAAAGTGGATGTCTTGAATGGGAATTGAACCCAGGTCCTTGCGGTTGGGGTGTATAAGGGCAAAAAGCAGTGGATTTCAGGCAAAGGTGAGATAGCTTAGTGGTTATGAAAAAAAGTAATGTTGATATTTCTACACTATAAACTGTTATATAATATATAAGGGGGGTTATAATTATAAAACCTCAATACTAGGTAGCTAATAATATTGAAGAGTGACCAGTGATGTAGTGTTATGGGGGGGGACTGACTACAGAGCATCTGATGAGGAGGGGATACAACTGGCTGGCAGAGGCCTCCTTATATAGACAAAAGTGAGGGAATTTAGCTCCAGGGTACATGCAGTTGAGGGAATTTAGCTGGCCTGAATATCCAATGAGGGAATTTAGCTAGTCTAGTACATGCAGGTGAGGGAATTTAGCTAGTGATAGCACAGCCTTGAGGGATTTTAGCTAGCCTACAAGGTCCTACAGTGCCCCTCACCACCTCTCCACCACCCCCTCCAAGGTGTTCCAAAGTTTTGGGTTTGAAAATTAGAAAAAATTTCAAAATCCGGGGGGTTTCTCGGGGGTCTTGGAGGCTTCTGTACAAAAAAGACATGAAAAAGTCTCTTGCACTCCAATTTTGAAACCAGAATCAGTATATTCAATGGTTATTGGCAAAGATTCTTGCTCCCAGAAGCTCCAGAGAAAGAGGGAAGCACTTTTACCAGTTAAATTGACAAAGAAGATTCAATTGATCAATCCATATTGGAGGAGGATGGGGGAACTGCATGTACTTGGGTATGTGTTTACAATTCACATACTCTTTAAATGCATATTGTGCCCCCTATATACATATTATGGCTCCCTATATACATATTATGGCTTCCTAAAGCCATACCATGTGGTCCAGGGTGGGCTTGGACATGGTGTTCCAAAGTTTGATGCTCGAAAATTGAAAACTTTTTTTTGAGGTACAGTAGCAAGTTGTGGGTGACAAATTCAATTTTCCCTACTCCCATAGGCCTCAGAAATGTGTAGTACATGCCCATTGAGGCACATGGGTCGGTGTACTCAGACTTCAAAGTTGAACTTTTTTTTTGCAGGCGCGGGGTGGTGGAGAGGTGGTGAGGGGCACTGTATATATAGGGCGTTAATAAAAAAACGTGGTAAATCTGCGTTTACACACGGTTTTGCTGCGGCACAGCACGCGGATTCCGTGTGTACACACGGTTTTGTATGTATTTAAATTTTTATGGGTTATTTTTTGAGTTTTTTTGAATTTTTAAAGTTGTTTCCTACACTTTAAAAGGTGTAGAATTTAATGGTAAAAACCATTTTTCATAGAAATGAATTTTAATTATTAATTATTTTTTTCACTCATTTCTCAATTAATTATTTGCATACATGTTTGTACCTTATTTTTTATGTTTTTTTGAAATTTTAAATTTATTTCCTAGGTTTTCCAATGTGCGTAGAATTTAATGGTGTAATCCAATTTATTTAAAACTCAGCGGTTCATTTTTAATACTGAAATTAGACACATTTTTTCACTTAAATTTCTACAGGTTAATTTTCATTCTGTTTTGACATTTCAAATTTTCTTCCTACAATTTTATACATTTAAAAAATTATGGTAATAATCATTTTGCATCAAAATTAAAACTACATCTTGAATACTGCATTTGACACCGTTTTGTTTATTTAATTCTTCACTTTTTCACTTATTTGTTTGCATACATGTGTGTACCTTGGGCGATGATAATCTCACTCCCCTCCCCTCCCCGCACGCCCACGCCCACGCCCCTCCAAAAGGGGCGTGCAATCACACCCGCCCGTCTCTGAGGGGTGGGTTTGATTGCACGCCCCTCGGAATGCTGATTTCCCAAGGAAACAGGCTTCCAAGGGGCGGGCAGAAGAACCCGCCCCTCAGAGACGGGCGGGAGGACTTGCCTGCCAATCAAGAACCGAGATATTCTTGGTTCTTGACTGGCGGGTAGCTTAACCAAGGGATGAGGCCTTTGAACCCCCTCTCAACAAACTTTGAACCTTACTGATTCGCGGGGAGTGATAACCACACTCCACCCCCCTTCGCACACACACTCCCACACTCCCTTCTCTGAAGGGAGTGTGGGGACCGCACGCCAATCGAAATTGGCGTGCGGACCTGCACGCCAGCCCCCTGCGCGGGCATTACCCCAGCAGGGTTGGCGTGCGGGTCCGCACGCCAATTTTGATTGGCGTGCGACGCTGCACGCCAACCGTTAAGCAAGGCTGCATCGCTTGCAGGCAGGCGTGCAGCCTACATCCCATATCTCGACCTAAACCCATATTCATATGGGTTTAGGTCGAGGCATATCCCATAGGACCCAGG